GCAGAGCAAGGTGCAGGACTCTAGTTATCTTGTGATATGGCCCGGGCTAGCCTCTGCTGTGATGATATCCTAAAAGTGTTAACACCCATTTAACTACGGTTGTGAGACACACCAGTAATGACAGCTCAGTGGAAGATGACAGATAAGACTGGCACAGAGGCAGAGCTGGGAGATCAAGGCAGTCTTTATCTTGGTATTAGCTGTCTAAGTTGTGGTTGTTGGAGGGGTACACAGATGTACTCCTCACCAGGTTTGAACTGATATCCGTAGGTGAGTGTGTGATCGAAATTTGAGGTTAGCTGTAAACAGCAGTGGAAGCTGGATCCTTAGAAAGGTCTATCTGGGCTGTGGTGGTGTGTGCTACCTGGTTGTGGGTGTTTGGGTTCCTAACATCTGGATTCTCAGGACCAGTTTACCAGGCAGAGGAGGAGCAGGTCTTCCTAGTGAGTGCCCTTGAAGCCCTGCCCCCAAGCCCACCCCTCCCCTCTCAAAGGTGAAGGTTGACCAATCAGACATGATCATGAAATACTTTTCCAGTTTCAGTGAGTGATTACAGCACTAGCTTGCTAAAATAGAAGAGATACAAGCATTTATTGGTGAGCTGTTTCTGTGTCGAACACCCTCACAGCTGGGAGGGTGTGGCCTATTCCTGGGAGGATGCAAATTAGACTTGAAAACAAACAATACCGAAATAACAGACAGCTGTGTGAGTACAACTAAGACAGGTACTTGGGAACGGTGAACTAGTATTAAAATATGCAAGCACACATCAGAAAGTAAGGCACTTGGAGAAGTAGGACAGTTAGAATTAAAAGAAAAGGGGAAGTTTAATGTTTTATTTACTCCACTTTTGGATGGTGCTGTGTCAGCTAAGGTTTCATGATTCACTTTTGTCTCCTAGGAACAAAGGTGAATTGACATGTTTCTTGTCACACAGTGTTGTTATTTTACATCATGTGGGTTAGGGATTATGTGAAGAACCCCAAACAAACAAAAACAAAGTGCTGGTGAGGTAAAAAGTCCCTGTCCACTGAGACAACCCAGAAAAATAAAAAATAAAATCAAAGAGACAAACATTTGAGAAAAAATTAATAACGGACAGAGAGGCCAAAATGCCACCAAAGTGACAGTCTGAGAAAAAACAGTGGAGTTTTCTTTATCGGAAAGTGTGATGAGGAACATTGCTGCCTGCCAATTATGGTTTCATGTCTAATCTCCCCAAAGCCACATGAACTTGAAATCCCTCTTGGCCTCTGAGGCAAAAGATTCTATGGTCCTGATGAGAGTGTTGTATTAGAGTCGTTTCTCCTGGCAAGGAGACGCTAAAGGGTACTTGAATGAAATATTAAAAGTTATGAAGGACATAACAAAGGCCAATCAGTCCTTTCTTTTCCCCAGACCCCATAATATGAGAACAAGGGTTATTTGACAAAATTAAAGAGTAGCAAATGAAGTGCTAATAAAACGAGATAGTCACTTATATAATTCATTGCCATGGGAGGTCACAGAGGCAAATTCTGTGGCTGGATTAAATATGGGGCCGGGTAATTTTACGACCATTAATGATATTTTTAGCAGCCGAAGCCAATACCAGGAGAGGTAATTCCTGTTACATTCTCCAGTAGGTGTTTCTCGGGGACCTGTGGCCAGTGCTACGAGCTGTGTGAGAGCCAGCCTCACGGGTTCTAACGTTAGGTGGGAGGAGCAATGCATCCATCTGGGCTTCCATCATTTTCTCTTCTGGAGACCCAAAGTCATTTGTGCCTTGGGGAGAATAGGAAAGACCGCGTCCAGGCTCAGAGAAGCTCTCGTTTTCCTTGAATGTCACCCATTGTCGCGTACTTTGCTTGAGACTGTAAAGACCTCTTGGAGGTACAAGGCAGTTAACGTTGTCAGTGCTCCTCCAAGTGAAGGGGCCGGACTGTAAGTAGCCGACAAAGTCACCTTGAAGAACAGTCCACAAGAAATATGCTACTTGCAAACCTTAGAAAGGATTCCCAGAGAAGGAGACCTCTCCTCCGCTCCCTTCCACTTTCTTTTCCTTTTCTCTCTTTTGTTTTCTGAGACAGGTCTGAGGTAGCTCAGGCTAGCCTTGAATCTGCTATTTTGTCTGAGGATGACCTCCCACTCTTTCGTTCTCCAAGTGTTAGAATTATAAGTGTGTTGCTGTGGCTAGTTTATATGGGCTTCCTGTCTGCTAGGCAAATACTTGACCAGCCGAGCTATGTCCTCAGTTCTTCTAGGACTTAAATGGGTGGGAGTTCATTGTTCATACAAGGTAAGGAAGGACATTCTAGGTGGAAGGAACAAATAGGACACAAGGTCCAGAGACAGAACATAAAACACCAAGTCAGGAAACCGCTGGTTGTTTAGGGATACTGAAGCCTGGTGTTGGAGGGAGGGAGGGAGAGGGAGATGCCTGTGAGAAAGCTGAGGGATTGATTGGTGGACTCTGGGTTTGCTTGAGGTCTGTCTCACAACAGCAGAACTTCAGAGGGTGTGAGGAGTGGAGAAGAGGGAGGAACTTCGAGGAAAGAGTGGCTGGCTTTGGCTTCTTGGCCATGAGCCTTAGAATTCTATACAGCTGTTGGCTCAGTCACCTCTATTGTCCATCTGAAACAATGTTTACCATGAACTTAGTCGCCTGTAGTAGAGGTCAGTCGGTCAGCTTTTTTTTTTTTTTTTTTTTTTTTGCCTCTCCTGTATTTGAGTGTAGCCACATTCTTTTAGGACTTAAATGAGTTGAGTGCATTTTCCTCTCTGCAGTTCTGCTCCCCAGGACTTCACTCTATCTTTGGGTAGGAAGAAGGGGCAGGAGGCTCCCTGACCCTGGCGTCTGTTTTTTCTTGAGTTGGCTTCGCAAAGAAGCAAGGCAAAGTGATATTTTAAGGAGTAGAACAGATGGATGGAAATGTTGAAAATCTGTTTTATTAAATGATTTCAGCTAACAAAATAATTTAAACAGAAATGAAAAACAAATAACCCATCCAAACATGGTTCTTACTTTAGTGCTCTTGAATAATAATACTCGTATAACTCATTCTTGACAAAATTTAACTTTTTTTACACCATTAATATCTATAGTTGTAGGAACCCATAAATGGAAATGGGAAAGAAGACCTAGTCATCGTCCTGGTGGTCCCGGGTCTCATCTTTGTGATGAGCAAACTCTTTAGGACTGTGCTGTTAGTGTGATGCTCAGTTGTGGTTCTTAGTGTGATGGGATTGAGGGACACCTACAGGATTGAGGAACCACAACTGTGGACATATCCGTGAGGGCATCTACGTAGGTACGTAGATCACCAAGGCTCTGAACTAATGATGGCATGCATGAACCCCTTGATGGACTCATAATTTATATGCTGGTGTTAATGAAAGGTGGTGAAAGGTAGCAGGTGGGTCTCCCTGGAGGAAGTAGATCACTGGCAGCATAAAGTCATTCCCTGATCCCACACCTTCCCTTTCTGTGTGTGTTGGTGTACACTTACCTATGTTTAGAAGTCAGGACGTATCTCCAGAGTCTGTTCTCTTCTTCCACCATGTGTATCCACGATTGAGCTCAGGTTGTCAGGGTTGGCAGCAAGCTCATCCTTACCTCTGAGCCATCTTAGCCCCTGTGGTCCTTTTCTGAGTTGTCCTTTTTCTGCTTCCTGGTTGACCTCGAGGTGAATACTTTTTCTTTGTTACAAGATCCCACAGAAATGGTATTATTCCTAAACACACAGAGCCATGTGACCACATGCCAAAATAAATTCTCCTTGCCTCAGGTTTTCTCAGTAAGTACGTGGTCACAGAGACAATTTACCTGGCTGATACACCATAACGTCTGCAGTCAGTAACTCATGTGCACATGAGAGAAGTGTGTGATTGGCACATATTTCTCTAATGATTACACCTTGCCCACCATTGTCTGTTAAGACTCTGCTGCAAAATCATGAGGTCCTTGGAGGAAGGTCTGGGATGTAGAAATGAGGCGAGCTACACTAGGAAAGTTTATCTAGCTTACCTTGAGGCCACTTGATGCCACAGATCCATGGGCGGAGTTGAAAGTCATGGACATCAGACTCTGGACGCCCGAGGGGGAGACTGTGACTCACACTGAACTAAGGACAAGAAGCAGATCCACTTCTGCTCAGGAATGCTGTCCACGTTCAGCAGTAGAGATGCCTCTAGGTGCTCTGTCTTCTGGGGAGCTGGCTGAGGTTCCGGTTCCGTCAAGGCCACCTGAAACAACTCAGATGACACAGGACAGGCCACCCTGAAGTGGCAGTGCCAGGGCTAGCTCTTGCAGCTTTGCGGGGGATCCTCCCTCTTCCCCCTCCCTCCGTTCTGAACACCTGCTACACTGTTGTTATTTCTAGCACATTTTGAAAAATTCCCTCTTGATGGGCTGTATCACATCAGCATCTAGCAGATATTAATCTTGTCAGTGAGTGGGTAGTGATCAAAGATGCCTTTAAGTATTCACTAATTCACTTTAGTATTTATTAATCATTTGCTCTCCTGGACTAGACATTCACAAATAACTCTTCTCTGTCAGAGGTGAGGCGTGCGTGCCAAGGGAGGAGGGCACACCCACTGCTGTGCTTCTGTGTGTAATTAATCAATACAGCTTCTTGTCATTTCAGATGCACGTGGTTTTGCACGAAGTGAACCTTGTGATGACTAGGCTTGCCACAGGGTCATGTATTTGCTACTTGTGAGAAGGAAGCATGACTTTAAACATATATTTGTCGTTATTTTCTATATACATATAATGTGCAGGCTCATGGGTGCCACTGTATATGAAGGTCAAAGGACAGCTTAACGGAGTTAGTTCTCTCCTTCCACCTTTCTGTCGGTCCTAGGGTTGACCTCAGGATATCAGGCACACGCAGCATGTGCTTTATTGACTGGCGTGTTGCTCCCAAGGTGTATATGTTCCAAAAGAATATTGATAATGAATGAGGATATGATGGTGAAGCTCTTAAAACTTACAAGTGTCGCTTTTTCCTTTCTAGATCTTAGCTGGATCTCCAAAGTTCAGGTGAATCACGCGGCCGTTCTGAGGCGGGCTCAGCAGATCCAGGCCCGCCGAAGCGTGAAGAAGGAATGGCAGGTATGGGCCCTCATGAGCATTCTGTCCCCACACCTCTCAACACACGCCTCTTCCCTCAAGGCCACAGTATTGAATTTCACTCAAGATGCATCTGCACTTAAAGGATTGCAGCTGTCCATGGCTTATTTTAATAATTCATATATGATGATGATGGGTTGGAGAAAGATAACACATTTATCCAAACAAGTTAAGAATCTTATCACTCTTGAGTGGCCAAACCGCAAATGAATTTGAGGCCATCTTTATTCATGAGCAAATTAAATGGCACATTTCCTCAACACATTTATTCAGTTTCTTAGCCATGCTTTCTTTGGCTGTCTTCTATTTTAATTTTTAGGCCATAAACATCAACATCTGGTTTGTCCACTACTGAGGGCTGAGTTGGGAGAATCCACCTAACTATTGCTTTTCAGAAATCACTTTTCAAAATTCCAAAAGTGATGTCTGGTGGGGTACTTCAGTCAGCATTTTCTTCAGTGCGTGGCCATCAGATACGTGCTGTGCAGACCCAAAAGGACCTCTAGGTTCATTTCACAAGAGAGGCAGAATACTGTGATGGAGGCCTTTCAAATAATATTTCCCCTCTGCCCATCCTGGTTGAAAAAACAAAGGGTAATTTTTTAGAGTCAGTTAGGAAATATGAGGGTTGTTTTAATAAAGGAATTGGACGAAAAACAACAAGGGACTTAGAGATTTTAGAAAATGTTGTATCACCTTGGATTTCAGGAAAGAAGGTAAAACGAAGGTAGTTCTCAAGTCACCGCATTTGTGGAAAAGTCAGAAATCGCAGGAATTGGTGGAGGCTTCATTTTGGAGTTTCTGAGAAAAAAAAATAGATTGAATCTATCCTTTTGTTTTATTCTCAGTAATGTTCATCTTGATTGCCATTCTTTTAAAAATGATTTAAAATATACAGTGTGATTTGTGTGTGTGTGCCTATGCTTGTGTGTGTGTGTGTGTGTGTGGTGCACTCATGTACAACCTGAAACATGTGGATGTGGAGGACAGCTTGGAGGAGATAGTTCTCTCTTTCCACCATGTGGGCTCTGGAGATAGAACTTAGGTCTTCAGGCTTGGCAGCAAGTGCCTTTCCCTGCTGAGCCTCTCTCTCATCTTTGCTTGTCATTTTTGACTTCTGATTATACCTGGTATCAGAAAACTCCTTATAGCAGCATTGACCGTGGCTGTTAACACTCACATTTGTCTGTTTTTCTACTCTCTAACTTTGTTCAAGGTGCGTTTTATTTTTGACTCCCCTTTGTTCTCCTTCTGGTCTAGGCTGCGTGGCTCCTGAAAGCTGTTACTTTCATAGACCTTACCACACTTTCCGGGGATGACACGTTTTCCAACGTTCAACGGCTCTGCTACAAAGCCAAATATCCGATCCGGGCGGACCTCTTAAAAGCTTTAAATATGCACGACCAAGGTGAGACTGTGCACACTGTACCTGGGTTTACCTGGCTACGGTGGTCATGGCTGGGGCTTCGGGGGCTGGATCCCTCCTGTCCCCATCTCCCCCCACCCCTGCTGATGTGCTGTGGCGATCAGGTCCCCAGTAGGCCCCCGCTTCTGTGTGCAGACAGAGCACTGAGATTCCCTTCAGAAACTTAAGAGATTCCAAGCCTTGCTTCATGTCAAGTTTCGCATCTGTGAGCTGAAGTTGCCGGTTGAGAGTTTCCTCAGTTCTTCACGTTGGGAACCTTCTATCCAGTGGCTCTGTAGGCTCTGATTCCCCACCACGAGGGAAGAACCAGTCTCATTACTTAATGATCACATCGCATACATGAAGTAAAAGCAATGCATTGGAGACTAAAATGCAAATGGGAAGTACTGTGTATCAAGTAAAAATTTAGAATGCAAAACACCTCCCAGCACTCTCTTAGTGTATGAGAGGAATAGATGCCGAAAGCTGTCCTGAGTTTTGAGCTTTCAGATATCAAATGTGGAGGAGGCTGGAGGTGGCGGGCTGTGGGTGGCAGGGGCGGCAGGGGCGGCAGGGGCGGCAAGGGCCGGTGGTGGTGGTGTCTGTTTTCTAAGTGAGCTGTGTTGCGGAGGCCGTGCGTGTTGTCTTTCCCTGAGCCAGTTTTGGTTGGCAGAGCTCCTCTGTGTGGCTAGGCCTCTTGACTCTGCCAGTGCCCAGCTGCTGAGCATGAAGGGAAGGCGCTGAGCTAGCCCAGTGCAGGCATCACAGACAGCCTGGGGGCCAGCAGTTGCCCTAAGCAACTCCATGACTTTTGAAAAGTCTTTATTGTGTTTCTTTCCAGTTGACATGAGAACGTTACCTGATTAGAGCTGGAGTACTAAAGGCCTGGCTTCCAGCCCCAGCACTAAAAACAAAATGCAACACCCACCTTTTCCCATTCGCTACAGTCATGTGGGGAAAGTATTTTTCCCTCTCCTTTGCTTCCTGCCGGGGTTGTCCTAAAAATAATAATTAAAGTGGTAGTGTGTGAGCTGAACCCCATGTAAAGGAGGCTGCTGTGCTCTCCCCTGCCTAGGCATCACCACGGCTGCCGTCTGTGTTTACCCTGCCCGCGTGTGTGATGCTGTGAAGGCGCTGAAGGCTGCAGGCTGCAGTATCCCCGTGGCATCAGGTAAGACTTTCGGTGGCTTTTACTCTTTTCAACATGTCTGAAGTTCTTTAGCTCATTCGGCAGGGAGTATCCTCCATGAATTTATACTGTGATTGCCCTGATTTCTCCATGATTTTAGTATGTGTTAAATGTTATGTAGCAAAGGGAGATATTAAAGTAGGCATGATGTCTCACATGCTGTAAGTCTGAGGCCAGTCTGGGCACATTGTGAGATCTCAAAAACAGACAAAAACCTGCCACCCCCAAACCTTGACATAGTGAGACTAGAAGTGTAGAGCTATGTCTTTGTTCCTGTAAGGAAATCATTCTTTTCATGAGGACCATCAGATTTATAAAGTCCTGAGTCAGCTATGCCATGCACACACACACACACACACACACACACACACGTCTCTGTGTTGTGTTGTATGTGTGTTGCCTATCGTATCTGAGCAGCGAAGGTTTTCCTTAGCCAGGGTTTGGGGACCACAGAGTAAAAACGTGTCCCAGCAGAGGTGATTACTGTGTTGAACACTGAGTGATGAGGAGGAGCCGACAGGCTGCTAAGGCAGGCGATGCTCTTTAGACAGGAACTAGCATACACAGAGGCCCGGAAGCTCATCGGGAAGAGAAAGGCTTACAGTGTGGACAGGGAGTGGGAGTGGGATCCAGGCAGGCTGCCGATGGCTGATGGCATGGGCTCTGTTCTGATGACAGTGTTCACTCCGGAAGGCTTTAAGCACAGCTTGACATGATCAGCCTCACAGTGGTGAGTTAACTGATGTCAGAAAAAACCAAAAAGGCATAGAATAAGCCAGGGTGAAACCAGAGCTTCCAAACCCCAGAAGGACCAACAGCGAGATAAAGGTGCCTCTTGGCAAGGCTGGCTCCCTGAGGGGAATCCCCGAAGCCCACACAGTGAAAGGAGACAGCCAACTCTCCTAAGTTGTCCTCTGACCTTATGTGTGTACACAAAACACACACACACAATGTGAGTAAATGAAAAACAGACTATAAAAAAAAGCCTGGTAAAGTGTGTGTCCGTGGATACATGGATGGATGGCCAGGTGGCGACAGATAGTATTAGATTCTACCTTTTAAAAAGGTTACAAGAATGTCCTGGTGCCTTAAATAAACAGTCTGAGCCAGGCAAGGTGGGACATGCCTGTAATTCTAGCATTTAGGAAGCTGAGGCAGGAGGACTGCTGTTAGTTCAAGCTCAGCGTAAGCTGAATGGAAAGAGCATGTCTCAGAAAGAAAACAAAGAAGCATTTATAAATTTATAAAGATCAGCCACTTATTTTATTAAGAAAACACGATGTACTATATCCCTTTTTAAGATTAATGTTTTATATGTATACGTTTGTGCTTGCATGGGTTGTTATGCATCAGGTTTTCCTGGGTGCTGACAGAAGCCAGAAGGTGCCATTAGATGCTTCGAAACTGGAGTTACAGATATGTGGGTACTAGGAGCCGAAGTTGGGTGCTTTACAAGAGCAGCCTATGCTTTTAACCACTGAGCCATCTCTCCATGAACCATGTTTGTGTATAGCCTTTTGAGAGGATTGACAGCAATACTTTCATAAACCTTAGTTTCTTCACCGTCTCAGTGCATTCAGCTTCCCACTTAGGCAACAGGGCAATTTGTTTGGCCTATGATAGCAGACCTGAGGAGTTACACCTGTAGGAGAGGTCAACAGGTGTGCTTAGAATCAGGGATGGGATGAATGAGAAAGAATTTCTAGTTCTCAAACTCTTAGGTGTGAGTTCTTTTTCCTTCCCTGTATTCTTAGCCCTTTCCTGCAGTCATAGCACTCTCCTCCTGCCAGGCTTCTCCTTGGTCTCAGCTGCCTGGCTGGTTGTTTTAAGAGATACCGGGAGGCACCCGGCTTGCTGTCTGGTTGCTCTAGTTCCCTAAGTCTATTCATGAGTAAACGGAGATCAGGTCAGGGGCAAATGAGTAAGTCAGGAAAGCCAGCTTGAAACAACCAGTCCCCCATGTAAAACCCCACCAGAAATTTTAGTCCTGTCAGCTACCATATTTAGTTAGTTAATAGCTACTAAGTGTGCTGTGCAAACACCTCTGCAGCAACTGAACTTCTGGTCTTCCAGAAACTACCACGTCGCCATTCCTCTAAAACAAATGTACATTCACATTCTGCACCCCTCCACCCCGTCCTGTGTGGCATGAGCAATTAAATGCCCTTCATGCATTCATCTGTAAATGCTGTACTTACGAACTGACCGATTGAAATTTGTTCTTTGTTTTCTTTCTCTCCCTCATTCTCTCCTTTGTTTTCTTCCTTTTTAAATCTGTCCCAGTGGCCACTGGCTTTCCAGCTGGACAGACTCATTTAAAGACACGATTGGAAGAGGTCAGATTGGCCGTGGAGGACGGAGCTACTGAAATCGACGTGGTCATTAACAGGACCTTGGTGCTGACTGGCCAGTGGAAAGGTGGGTGCAGGTCCTTGCTTCCAGGGAGCCCCAGCCCTTCCTGGTGGGTCATGTGGGGATTAGGAAGGGAGGCAGCATGACTTAGGAATCAAGTTCCAGGTCAGGTCACAAGTCAGAGGTCAGAGAAAACATAGCTAAGAGTGCTCCCCTTGATTCCCTTACACGTCTAGGCCATTCTCTGTCTGCAGGAGCTTGTCACTCCCCTTGTGTGGTCATTCCATGCAGTAAAAATCATTAATTTGCTTCTCTTTTGGTTGAGTGACTACTATTCTGTACTGTTTTGTTATTCAGTACATAAATCACTTCCGGCAAGTCTTCCAAGCAAGGTTTATTTCAGTATTTTGGGGGAGGTCATCACCTTCACATTAATCTCTGTGGATTTTGGGAATGTGCGCTATTAATAAGTTTATTAAGTATGTTTTACCACCATAAATGTTATAATGTTTTTCAACACTCATCTGTAGGGTTAGTGTTTCACTCTCATGCCTGTAATAGAATATGTCCATTCCAGTAACAGGATGCTACTTTTACAATGAGGTATGAAACAATCAAATGGATGGTACTTATTCTTATATATATTCTTATACTATCATATATATATATATATCTTGTATCCTAAGAATGAGGACATTAATAACTAAAATGAATACAGTACTCTCTGAAAAAAAATACCATAGCAAGTGATTTAACTAACATTTTAGATGAAACTAAATTAATGCCAGGATAATATATTATTTCCTGATAGATGTCCATATCAAATAAAATGCATATTTTGATTAGGGAGGGTCAGTGGATCCCTGTTAATTCATTTTTCATTTACTTGTGTATGTGTGGTGGGTCTTGTACATGCCAGGGCTTCGTGGTGGAGATCAGTAGACAGCTTTTGGGAGTCCGTTCTCTCCGTCTTCCATGTGTGTCCAGGGAATCCCACTCAGATCATGAGGCTTGGTTTGCAAGCCTTGGAGAATTAGCTACATTTCATACCTCTCCTATTTCCCACCCCTTTCCTATCTATACCACCGTTCTCGACAGTTCCAAATATCTTTTTTACTTGTGCTCCTTTTCATATTGCTGCCAGTATGTGCTTTGGGCATTCTTAATCCTCCCTTAAAAGTTGTATTTTATATATATTCTTGTTCCTGTGTATTCTGCTTATCTGCTTTTGGTCATAGATTTTTAAGTTAAGATATCAAGACTGTAGATAATATAATATTCATAATATTTTAAGTAAATCTGGAAATATTTGTCTTTCGTGGCTTTAATAAGCTGGTATGAACATAGATTTGCAGTTTATATTATAACCTTTGCTCTTGTCTCTCAAGTTTTACTAATTGAAAAATAAAATCCAGTAGGAGGTGGGTTTTAATGTAATTGGTATCTCTTAGCAGACTTAGGGATGGCTGTTTTTGAGATAATAATTTCCCCAAAGTAGGCATTTCCACAAAATATAATAACACGTTTTTGTCCTAGGCCATACTTTTCCATTAACTTTTTTTTTATGGTGTTAATAACCTCTTGACCCAAACCAAATCGAAAAGGAACATTTAATGCTAGAAATTTATTTCTAAATAGAAGCCAGCAGTGACTTAAGCCTTTCCCCCTTTGCAGAATTTTGTCTTAATTTTGATTCTCAGCTTGATGATATATTGTGTTATTCACTGTCCTGTTTTTATATTAGGTGTTTTCTGAGTTACGAGTCTCTTAATAATTTTGTGGAATGCGCTGGTGGGAATGCCCACCAGGCCGCTCTGTTTCCTGTCTTGGGCCTCTTCTCCACGCTCTGAGTTTTGTGAGTTACTTTGTATATTAGTTGCTTTTTTGTTTGTTTTTTTGAGACAGGGTTTCTCTCTGTAGCCTTGGCTGGCCAGGAACTCACAGAGATCTACCTGCCTCTGCCACCCAGAGTGCTGGGATTAAAGGAGTGTGCCACCATCAGTTGTTTTTCTCATTGCTGCCACCCGATGAAAGCTTCTTAAGGAAGGAAGGGCTTGCCTTGGCTGTGGCACACTCCATCATGTCACAGTCTAACGTGGAGATTCAGAGAGAGATGAGTGCAATGTGCAGTGTGCTTTCAGGTCAGTCTGGGCCCCCAGAGGAGGGCTAATGCCACCCACACTCAGAGTGGGTCTGTCTCCTCCAACCAAGCTAGAAGTTGTTACATGCTGTGATGCACTGCTGAAATAGACCTGGCTGTTTAGAATGCCTCCTGACCACGCCTCCTGGCCCCGAAGAGTACAGGTCCACATTGTGTGCTCCGGGACTCTGTGAGGAGAGAGATAGAAGCTCCCTGACAGGCAGTGTTCTATTGCTGTGAAGAGACACCACGACCATGGCCACTCTTGTAAGTGGAAGCATTTAATTGGGCTTGTTTAGTCCATTGTTTTTGTGGCAGAGAGAATGGTGCATGCAGGTAGTCATGGTGCCGAAGATGTATCTTGGAGTTCTACATATGGACCAACAGGCAGCAAGAAGAGGGAGACACAGGTTCTGGATTGGGCTTTTGAAACCTCAAAGCCCACCCCCAGTAACACTTCTTCCAGCAAGGCCACAACTACTCCAAAAAAGCCATACCTCCTAATCCTTTCAAATAGTGCCACTCCCTACACATTCAAATATATGAGTCTACAGGGGCCATGCTTATTCAGACCTTGACATTCCCATTCTTTTTGTTCCTTTCTAAAGAATCTGTATCAGTGTTTTGCCTGCATGTATGTATACATATTACATGTATGCCTGATGCCCAAGGAGGCCAGAGAAGGTGTTAGATTACCTGATGCTAGTTATAGATGGCTGTGAGCCACCATGTGGGCACAGGGAATAGAACTCAGATCCTTTGCAAGAGTATCCAGTGCTCTTCACCACTGAGCGTGCTCCCCAGCTCCGTCTCTCAGCATCCTTTGAGGAAGCATTTCCTGTCTCTGCATTGTCAGATGTCTGGCTCTCACGTTGACCTTGTGGTTTCTGTGTGTCAGCATCAGCCCCCCTGCTGCTTCTCAGAAGCAGGAAGCACTGGATCAGAAACTCCTTGAGTCCCCATGTCACACCTGCCCTTCTTTGCTGCGTGGCTCCCCTCCCGCACGTCCAGGTGTTTACCCTGTGCATTGGTCATCATTGTCCCCGTGTGTCTCCAGCCTCTTCCTTCTCGTCCATTCCCATGAGTGTGTCTGTTTAAAACCAGCGTGCGGTTTCGTTGATAACTGTATCTCCTTTCTTTTATCCTCAGCACCACTGGAATCCTTAGGCAACCCACACCTCTCTGTCAGTAAGCTGTAAGTGCGACGACAGTAGCCTCCCATTTCCCAGTGCCCAGGAGCTTCCAGGCATTCTATTCAGCCCTGTTCAGTCTTCCACATGCCGAGCTGTCCTTTCCTCCTGAATCACCATGTTGTTGTGACTGTGACTTCACCTTCCTGAGGCTCCGTCACTCTTCAGCATCCTCTTTTTCTTGGTGCCAAGTTCCTGCATGTCCCCTGCCCTCCCTCCGGTGTTCTGTCCTGGAGCGACTTCTTTTGCTGTACAGAGCCCCACAGAGAGCCAAGTTCACTTACATTGTCTTCCATGTTGGCTCCCAGAGCTCTGAGCACTAGATCTTTGTCACTTTGGCCGATCTGTGTGTCTAGACTTCTGTCCACATGCTACTCAGCTGTGTTGTTCATTGTCATTTTCAGAGAACCAGAGAGGGGCTCAGAATCAGAGAGTCTCAGGAAATCAGGGACTCTAGACAGAACTGCATCAAAGTAGTTACCTTTCCCTCTATTAACCATTTAATAAAGAAATCCCATTTAGATTTGGTACTCTTGATTACTCAGGATGGTGGTGGTGGTGGTTGTGTTATCTTGAGTATAGTGATGCATTCAGGAGCTACTAAAGTCCCTGTGGTGATTTGTCCTACACTGAGCAGCGCTGAGTGCCATGGTCTCTAGTCACATAGCACTGTTTGTTCAGTTTTACCCTAGTCCTTGTAGCCTGGTCTTTTTCTGGTATGCCTTTTCCTGTTCAGCTCATTCACACTGCCCTGCCCTGACATTCCTTCACTGACTCCTGCTCATGCAGGCATGTGTGTATCTGTTTGTCCCTCAACATAGCTCTCAGAATTACCTGACAAGTATTTCCGAAGTTCTCAGTCAGTGCCCTTCCCCCACATTCCTGGACAGGTTCTGACTTTGACATCCAAAGCTTTTGCCACAAGGGCCTCATCATCCGCACACTCCACGAGCAGGCCTTGGTAATTACATACCGCCTTCCTTAGTTGATATACATAGGGGCGGTCTCATTTCTGCTACACAGAGATGCCTAATATATCTCTATATATTTACTAGTGACCTGGAGAAGTTCTCAAATTTGGACTATGCTGAAAAGTCCAGTTCTGTGAGTCTAGGTGCAGAGCTGCCAACACTGGCCTCGGGGATCAAGTCTCCGCAAGGTCCCTGCAAGTGTAGGTGGTTCAGGCACTGAGATTTTTCTGGCACAGTGTGCTCAGTGAAGCAGTTGGGATCATTGTCAGTCTCTTGTGACCACAGCCTCATCATCTCCACATCCTTCAGGTGCTCACCCTCGTTGCTTTCCAAGCTTAGTTTGTAGCATACACACTTAACATTTTCTGGTTTCATTATAAGAGAATGAAATTCCAAGAGCAAAGCCGGTAAATATGTCTTTCATTTTCTCCTATGAACTGGACACTAAATACCTACTACCTGGTCAATAATCTGCCATTTGTTATTTACTTGTTTTTATTTTATTTTTTACAGAAGAGGAATAGGGGAATCCCTGAAAAAAATTTATTCTTGTTTCCTTTTATAGAGCTGTTCATAATAATAGCTCATCAGAAAAGCTATTTCTAAATCTATAGATACTTTTGGGAGTGGAATTACATAATCCATAGTCTGTAGTTCCTCTGTGCCAGGTTGTTTATAACAGAGAGAGTCAGGAGACACAAGAGCCCGATGCTTTTATGGTTTTGTTTTCTATGCTATGATTCTTCAACACTTCAATAGTATTGG